TTGGTAGGACTTACGAAGGGCGGCCAATTAAGGGAATCAAGGTACAGCTATTTCACGATTATCCCCCTTCAGTTTTATATGCTTGATCTAGTTGGCCAGAAGTGGCAACAACTTGCTTTGCTAACAAGTGTGTGGTACCTGCGAAAAAAAAGACCACCCGAACAGGCGCCGAAGAGGTAGTGCATGTAAATCTAACGATACTAACTGGAGATATGCAGCCTACACCTGAAAAATCTGGCACTGCTGCGCTCGCCTTTTGAGAGAGGATTCCAGTAAAATCACTAACGTAGGATACCCAGATGAAAAGCTCGACGATTTTGGTATTTGTCATGTGTTGTGAATTTAAGGCAACGCTCCCGTGTGTTCGCTAGTTTATCTCTCATATGTCAACAAATTTGTTTGGAAACTTTCAGATCGGCAACCCGATAGGACGGACCGATAAACGCATTGTCTGGGTGGATGGTGGGATGCATGCGCGGGAATGGGCAGCCATTCATACGGCGCTTTTTTTCATCGATCAGGTACATCGTTCAAATTCAGATTTTCTTATAGCTGATTGAAATTTTTATTGGAAATATTGGTCAAAGACAAACTGCAAAGGTTTTTTTTTGTACGATGCAAGTTTCCTAAATAGCCTGAAACACCGTTTTGTACTAAAAGCTGCCACTCTTAGACCGCAGTGGGGTACCTTGTAGACCAGAAAAAGACTTTATTTTCAAAACCTGCGCCTGGTAAGTGTGAGTATCCCAGTAAACATCACTAATTTGGGACATCCAGACCAATTGCCTCAGCTCGTCTTGACATCATTGGTATTCAAAAAATTTGGCAATTTGCAAATCATCAAAAGACATTTGTGGTATTTCTTCCAAAACGTGATTCTTACAAAAGCTCTTCTAAGAAAGAAAAATCCTGATTTGCCTTTTTGCCAGATTTTATTTGTATAAAATCTAAACGTAAAATTTAAAACTTTTGAAATTAAAAACAAACGCTCCTTAAAATTTTTCAGCTAATTTCGCAGTACGGAATCGACCCACAAATTACGTCATATGTTGACACGCTGAATTTTTATATTGTACCTGCAGCGAATCCAGATGGATATGAATATTCGCGATCGGACATAACACCCCGGGTAATTAATTGGTTATTGCTGTGATGAGCATTATCTAGCTAGGCTCTTCCTGACTGCTCATAACGTGTGTTTTAGACAAGATTCTGGAGGAAGAATCGTGGCAAGCAAGTGTGTTACAAGAATCAGTGGCATCGAGAGCGTTGCTGTGGTGGAGTGGATTTGAATCGGAACTTCGATTTCCATTGGGGAGGTTCATTTTCCAGAAAATCTAATTCATTTTCGAATTATTATTGCTTGTAGATGAGACGATCCATTTTTAGGTCATTCAGTGTCTCAATTAAGGCTAGTTTTGATAAAAATCTATCTCAGCGCATCTTTTTTTCAGAAACTGGCTCAAGCACGGACGTCTGCTCAGAAATATACCAAGGCAGTGGGCCTTTCAGTGAACCCGAAACGAGGTTTAATCCTTATCTTTTCACTAAATCATAGTGGAGACTCCTAGTGATATACCTTAGGCGTAACAGTACAGTTGCGAAATCGTCATAGATAGCGGTGGAATATTTTACTGATAAGAGAGCCAGGAAAAGGAGGTAGAACGTCTTCTACTGAGAGGAAGTTGATTTTTTTAAATGACATTTTTCATATCTTCCTCATTTCTCACTTTCTCACTTTTGTTAGCGAAATTTATGAAATTTGGCATTTGCATTTGTCATTATGGACGATGTTGCCCGCAAGAAATTAAGCGACTATTCAGGCAGCTTCCGAAGAAATTGCACAAGTAGTAATGGATACTTCCTGGAGGTATACAGCTTAAGACCGAAATGTCTGGTATAGTTTTGCCCAGCGTATTTTATCCCAACAACATCTTTAACACTGCACCTTTACATCGATAGTCTTGACATAATCCCGATAAACCTAAAGTACTGTTATGACATTGCGCTGTTGCAGAGCGATTCGAGACAAACTGTTATCGCCGGAGATGTTTGGTAAAGTAGACGCATATATCACGCTACACACTTATTCTCAAATGTGGATCCATCCATACAATCACCAGCGTCATTCATTTCCCAGTGACATCAACGACCTTGTGAGAATTCATCTACGGTGCGCTCAATAAGTAGACAAATAAAGTATGATTTAGGGTTAGCACGGATCAGAGCTTCCATATTCCTCTATCGAAAAATGCTATAAATTTTAGGTAGTTTCTGGTCTAAGTGAGCAAAAGTTTCCAAATTTTTCATTTACCAGTCGTACGATTCTCTCGTTAATTTTGCATATCAGTGAATAGTGCCTTACGAGAAAGTAAATGGCCATTCAAGAGCCATCCAGAGTGGGCACATATATCGACTGAGTAGTGGGCACCAACTGGAGATACGTGTTTTAGAATCAAATGACCTGGTATGGCTGTTACCTGGTCTGAGGAAGCATTCCAGTAGAATCGTAAACGCAGAATCTCCATAGCGACTATCCGGACAATCTTGGCATTCTTAATAAAGCATTGAAAAAGTGAACACTTTTTTTCAGGAAGAAGTAGCAAAAAAAGCAGTGAAAGCGCTTGAAAATGTTTATGGGACGAAATTTCGACTTGGAACTGGAGCCGACATACTCTGTGTGTCCTTTAGGGGCCTTTGCTTTTTTCCTTTACTAAAATTTGCATACTTTTATTTCACATAGCTGTTAGCGCAGAAAGCGAGTGTCTCTTTCTACAGGATGCTTCAG